TGTTTAATATCAAGTCAAGTCAAAGTCAAGCCACGAAAACTTTATTCACCCCCAAGGGGCAATTAAGATAGTTGATACCTATATATGTACATTGAAGAACATATCCTGGTCAAAAATGACTCCAAGGTTCCTCACAGTGTTACTGGAAGCCAAGGTAATGCCATCCAGAGTAAGAATCTGGTTAGATAGTTTCAACTTAATGACTTAAAAATTTGAATTAGGGATCTTAAAATTTTAGCTTCTTTAGAAGCAACTTAAACTTTCAAAATGGCAATTTTGAGATTTAGACATAAGATAATTTTGCTCATCTCTTAGACTTAATTCTGCCAGACATTTTTTCAGTAGTAGAAACAAGGTTAAAAAAAAGAAAGAAGCCTGGGATTGTATTTTTCTGAAAATTAAAACACTCAGACGGCTACAAGAAATTGTATATTACAAAAAGATAACACAAAATAAAACTCTTCTATTCTAATTCCACGAAGGCCACATTATATATAAATATTTTCAGAATTTTTTTAAATAAATGAAATTATTATAAAAGTAAAAAGTTGTATTAGCTCCTCCTTAAATTTAATTTGTTGAAGACGTTAAAATCTTGTTTTAAAATGCTTTAATCAAGCTTTTAATCTGAAATGGTGAGGTCAATGACTTGTAAAAAAACCCAAGAAAAAAACCCCCCAATCGTGTTTCGTACAAGACCTTGGTTCTATGTAGATGTTTAAGTGAACTTTAACCATTAACAAAATCTTATTACCTGAAATATGACCCATATTTACCCTGTAATTCAGAGGTTATGCTGTGACAGACAGAGAAACAATGAAATTCTAAAGAAACAAAGACCCCACGTTTTAGTGTGAGACTGAAAAGAGACGACAACATAGTGTGATCCCTTTGGTCAGAGTTGCTGACAGGGGATAACCCTTTAAAACGGCCCCCCTCTCCTGTCCTGTCCCATCCCCTGCCTCGTGGTCTCTGTTCGCTCCCCCAGCCCATGCCTGCCTTTCTCCATACACACTGATTGACTACATGGCTGGACTATTACTATGCCTCTAAACACACCTGCACGGCAACCAGCACGAGCAGCACCTGACCAGCACTGAGATACTTCACTAACCCTCAAATCATTGATTTGATTTATTAAAGCAGGAGGACAGACAGAGGAGAAGGTCAGTGGATTTTGATGTGGTGGCTGATGGGATGCAATGTGTGAATCTATGTCAGCCACGTTTGTTGAATGCAATAGTGTTTAAGCTAGATTAAGCAGTTGAAGCTATTATGTTTTTACAGTGCCGAGTCACTTAGGACAGCCTTGTGAATCGCTTTCATGTATCTATCTAAAACGTTGAAATGTACAAATAAATAAAATAAAATACTAAAGTTAAGAACATCAACTCAGTTACAAAAGATAATAAACCACTAACCATAAAAAGGACCTTATAGTGACACAGAAATGATTAACAGTGCTTATTTAAGTAGCTTGAAATATCTAGTTATTTATGATAAAGCTGACATTTTCCTCAGTGGGAAATGGCTATTTATTATATCTAATTATTTATATAATAAATACATTCTTTATTTAAAAAACAACAACATGTAAATGGTTGGGCTAAAATGCTGTACTCAAATAGCCAAAACCATTTGTATAAACTGATTTATAACCTCTGTTTGCACACACATCACCTCAAAGTTAAATATTTCTGAAAGGCTTTTTACACATAAGTGAGTATTATATTTAATCTGATGGGTCACTTAAACAAGTTCAAAAAGAGCAGAAATACATTATTGTATGCCTACATGCATTAGCGTACCTGTGCTTTACACTTTTTATATGTGAAAAATAGTTTTATGGTGTTGTCCACCTCTGAAGCTTAAAGCTCGAGTTAAGCAGAGGCTTCAGTAACTGTTCCTCTCCTGTCAGAAGCACATACTGGAAAGAGAGAGCATCCACAGCACATCTGCAAGCGGTCATATCATGATTGAGAGTGACAGAGAGCTGTCAGCCATGGTGCAGGAGCTATGGGACAATGATATCAACAGACTAAAGCCTGGAAAAGACTACAGGATCTCCCTTCAGGTGCATCACGCACTCAGACACACACAGACACCTGTTGTAGATAATAGTATATATTGCAAACTTATGACGATATCTGACAGTCTGCATTACACCTCAAAACAGGCACCGTTCCTCTCCTGCAAATAGAGCTCAAGTTTTTAGCTCTGAATGAGCTTTACTCAGTAAAAAAGTCAAAGCCCGGAAACTTAGAGACCTACTGTAAAGGTAAAGGTTAGATCTTTGTGATAGAAACCGTCGATATTTATGGAAAATTTTATTGTAGGTCTTCCTAATGTGGACAAACTTTCTACTTGTATTTTTTACCACGTAGTAGTAATACTTACATTTTGGAGGCACAAGTAAGAGTAAAGGAAAAGATATCACTGGAAGCATACATGAGGAGCATTTTATGAAAAGCACTGTTCTTCCTGTTTCAGGGAAAAGCTGGAGACAGCATGAACATCAATGACAACAATGACGGGGCGGGATATCCACTGTTTACCTTTGTCGATGAGAACATTTTCAAAAAGGAGACTTTTTTAGGTAAGTGCACTAGGCACTTTATTGTTATCATCCATGTTTATAGGACTGAGCAGCCCTAAACATTGTTTAATGACGTAATGTGCCACTGAAATGTGCCTCTGTTGATCTTTGCAGCCTTTATCTCCCTGCTGGATAACTATGAGAGTGACACCGGTAAGCCAGAAATTGTAACTCCTGAGGAAGTGGCAGAGAACCACAAGTTCCTGGACTCCATCGTTCAGACTCCCACCATGAAGGTACCTATGAGGGGCATTTGACTATGTTCGTCATCGTAGGTTAGTGTCATTATTAAATACAGAGGATGAAGAAATATTATCAATGGCTTTCTATGACAGGAACAAAACAAAAAACAAAAACGGATGTTAGTAGCACTTATTTGTCTGTGGAGGTTTGTTCCAGTTTCACCTACTAATGGTGGAAGAGATAAACTCATGGGATCACTAAATAATTAGGATTTATCCTCTGTGGGTTAAAGGTATTTGAGATATTTAAGTCCTGATCGGACCAACTAGCGCTTTCATCTCGAGCCACCCTGCTAACTGAGCTATAAGCATTTTGTAATAAGTTCTTCTATTTTTTAGATAGCCCATAAATACCTGGTCAAGAAGCATCTTTCGCCTGAGGATGAGACAGAATTCAAGAAGCAGCTGTACAGGATCTGGTTTGAGCTTTATGCGAGGAGAGGATCCAGCAGGTGGGTGGAATCTGCGTCAGTGGAATTCAGCACCGTGATGGTAAATACAGGCTGACAAACTGGCTCTGTGTGGCAGATACATTCAGCGTCAGTGCTGTCAAATGGAAGAAAAAAAAAAGTGTTCAGGATTGGCTTGTCCATGTGGGCAGCTGCAAATTTAAGGCATCGATTTTGGAGCAGCTTCTTTTTTGGCCGGTAACCTCTCAGTCCATGTTGATGTAAAACTGGCTTCACTGTGGACAGCAACACTGCTGGTCCAGCAGTTTCCAGTTCATGGCAGTCTGGAGCCTTGGTGGTTCCTGGGTTGTTCCTGAACATTATAACCAATTTCATCTCATTTGAGTGGGTCTTCTTCCAGATCCTGGCAAAGCAAAGCAAAGACACATCCAAATAACTTGTACATATGTATGATCGTTTAAACTCGCAATCTTGGAATATGCAATTGTCAAGGAAAACTACTGTGGCATTCACGCCCATGATGAGTGGCTGTAAACTTCTGACATTGCCCTTTTTGTCTCTCTTCAGGCCAGACTCTTCGGGCTTTGAACACGTGTTTGTTGGAGAGACAAGAGGGGGGAGGACTGTTATTGGTTTTCACAACTGGATCCAGCTATACTTACAAGAGAAGCTGGGCCATATTGATTACAAAGGCTACAGTGTCACTGCACATTCACCCCAGGTATACTATTCTTAAGACTTTCTTTAATTAAACTCAGGCAAGGAAGTTCTTTTCTCTGGTACTTTACTTTTAACTATTTAGACAGATATTCAAAAATGTATTCAGGTTACTTTTTCCCTGTATATTTATCAGTAATTTCTTTCCTGCCTTTTCTCCACTGTCAGCAAATATCTGTCAAACAATCTGACTCATTTCTCCCTGCCTAACCGGCTTTTTCATTTTGCCCCTACCGCAGCCCGATGAGAACAAACACATCCTGGCGCTACAGTTTAGCTGGAAGAATGGTATAAAGCCCAAGGGCAGCATCTTCATCGGAGTCAGTCCCGAGTTCGAGTTCGCCCTCTACACTCTCTGTTTCCTCACCTCGCCTAATGAACGCGTCAAAGTCCAGTTCAGTTTGTACGACATGGAGATTGTTTGCCACCACTACAACCAGAAGCATATAGGTACCACCTACCCTGTGCTCCTCAGGTACCTGAACCCTCGGTAACTTGACTAGAAAATACATCTGACATACAACTTCCCCATCACTTAAGCTTGGGTACAAAGTGTCATAGGTATTGTTGTTGTCTTTTTATTTTACATAAAGATACAATAAAACCTTCCAAGAGCTAACTGCATTGCCTTTGTTTCTGTTTTGAGAGTGTGCTACGGATTACGTGATGGGAAATAACTGATGAGTCTCTGAAGTCTGAAGCCGGATACTGATCTATCTTTATCTCTATTTTACATTTTTTCTTAATCTTTCTTAGCGTTTTAGGTCATTAAATACATTTTAATACTAGACAAAGATAACCAGAGTAAATAAAAACCTGTAATTTTTAAGTAATGATTTAATTTATTAAGAGAAAAAAACCTAAACATACTTGACCCTATTAAAAAATGAATTGCTCCCTAGACCTAATAACTGGCAGCAACACTGAAGAGTTTTTGAACACGAATGGCCTGTTTGAGGTCATGCCAAAGCATCTCAGTCTGATTTAAGGCTGGACTTTGAGTAGGACTCTGCAAAATATTCTTTTGTTTTTTCTTTTATTGATTTTTATGTGTGTGGGGGATTTTTTTGAGTCATTCAGAGGTGGACTGGCTGATGCGTTTCAGATCACATCAGCCAGTCTTGAAGATCGTCCCATGGAGGCCATTTTTGTCCAGTTCTTATTGTTGAATCATGAACTCTGACCTTAAATGAGGAAAGTGAGGTCTGCAGTTCTTTA